TCTGGATCTGAACCGTCCTTGAAGGGTTCATTGAAAAGAATCGCTAGGACTCAGATATCTAACCCAGAGAAAACGTTTGTCATGACAATGGGAAGGCTCTCATCCTTGGCGGCGCTTTCTGCCCAAGGATGGTAGGCACTTGGCTTCATTCAACATCACATCCACAGAGCTCTGAACAGTTGCTGTCATACAGATGGTGTTTAGCTAATCTGTGTTAAATGAATGAATGAAATTTTCCCAGGCATGGTGGGGTAAGAGGGATTGGGTGTTGACTAACTGGGCTCCACAAACAGATCTATGTGTCACAAATGCCTTCTCCACTGACATTGTCTTTCCCCATCCTGCACAGGAGAGGGATCAACCAGTAACTCCTCAACTCCCTCCTGGCCTCTTGTAGGCTCCCTTCAAGTCTTTGTAGGGACCAGAGGCCAGAGTGTTTCAGAGTTTATTGGCCCAGAAATTAACTTCTCAGTTATGAAACAATTCCTTTTCCTTTACTATCCCACTAAAGGGGTCTCATAAGAGAGAACAGGTGAATACAGGTGCTTAGTCTTCCAGCTTAAACTGGAAGATCCCATGTCTCGGGATCACAAAGGCCCTGAGGGCTGGCCTCCAGGGCTCACTGGTCTAACAATCTGCTCACATGGCTTCTGGAGCCCACAGTGCCATGAGGGTACCCCAGGGCCTAGAACACAGCAGGAGAGAGGGACCTAGAGGGTCGACTCAGCCAGAGCTCCTGCACAAATATCTTCTTGTGTTTCCCTGAAAACATCAGCTGAAGGAAGAGTTCACTTACTTTAATCTCTGATCTTGTCCAATCCCATTTGTCCCACGTTAGAAAGAGACAGTGAGGACCTGTAGAAGCTGACGTCAATGTTGGGGTCCCAGGTAAGAGTTCCCACTAACACTAGGCTGGGCCTTTGGCTGCTTGGGATGTCTACATTCCATACTGGAGTGCCTGGGTTCAAGCCCCAGCTCCACTCCAGATTCCAGGCAGCAGGTGGTGGCTCAAGACTTGAGTCCCTGAGACCTCGGCTGAGTTTGGACTCCTGATTTTGGCCTGGCCCAGCCTTGGCTGCTGTGGGCATTTGAGGAGTAGACAAGTAGACAGAAGATATCTCTCTGTCTTCCCCTTTTCAAATAAATCAAATAATTTTTTTTTTTCATAAAAGCAGTGCCTACCAAAGCTGTCAGTGCATTCCCTGATGCCCCAGGACAGGCTGTGTATTCAGAAGTCACACTTTGCCTGCCCAGGCATTGCCTGTAATGGGGACAGTGCAGTGGACGGTGGAGAGGGGGGAGGAGGGCGAGGAGTTCACATCCTATCACAATTGAGGTCACCACTGCCCTGCCCATTCTTCTGCCATCTGTGACAAATATTTTAACCAAAGCACTACACGGAGCAGTAGTGTATTGAGGGGTCGTACACACATCAGTTTCTGAAAACTCTCCAAGGCGTATGTAGAGAACTGTGGCCCCACCTCCACAGGTCGCGTCAGGGTAAGGAGATGTGAGAACTGGAAGGTAAGTCTTGACCCAAAGGGCACTCAGGCCACCGCTGACACCTACTTCCTTCAGGAAGGCCCTGAGGGTGGCCAGAGCGGGACAGACTCCAGACCATAACGCAGTAACGGGCTGCGTTGCTGGGCCCTGAGATTCAGCGAGAGAAGATGTTAGCAGGAGACGATATCCCTCTGAATTATCCGTGTCTGAGTTTCTAGAAACACAAGTCTCATGTGAGAGCCGTCTCAGGTGCAACAGCCTCTGACTCACACCTACTCACTCGTAGCCCAAATAGATCCCAGGACCCCTTGTGGGTGAGTCTCAAAACTCCCCCCCCCCTTTTAAAGAAACAACAGCTCATGTTTGCTGGGGTTACCTCCCAAACTTTGAGTGCCTGCCTCCAACTAAAAAGAGAGGGAAGAAACAGGAAAGAGTCCAGCTCTACAGGACCAAGTGTGTGATGAGCTCAACTAAAAGCATTACTGAGCCATCAAATAAATATTTTCAAGAGTAAAATGATCGCATTTAGGGAGATCCACATGGTAACAGACTGGACTGGCATTACTGGAGCAGAGATAAAAACCGGAGCAGCTCTGGAGACAAGGGATGGAGTCACAAAGTTAGTCCACATGGCTCAGACGGCGGGAGTCGGTGGAGGGAGGGAGGCAGTGGGGGGAGGGTATGAGATCAGGTGTCTAGCCATGGCAAGTACCTGGGTGGTGGCTCCGTTTTCATATGGGAACAAAACAGGTCGGGGATCCGAGCGTGGGAGATGGTGAGTTTAATTTAGAGCATGTTTGATCTGAGAGGCCCATGAGGTGTCCTAGGGAGGCCTTGGGGCAGGTGGTACTGAGCACTACCCAGCCACTCGGTGCTGACCCTGCCTGCCCGCAGCTTGTACTCTCAGTCCCTTCCCGGATGCGAGCTGCTGGAACAGGAAACTCACAGGTGATCTCACTGCCCCGCCATGTCCCTCCTCCTTGAGCTCTGCAAGCTCCAGAACCCTCTTTCAGACCCCCTGAGTTCTGCCAAGGCCTACCATGGGGTAAGCATGCCACCCCTCATCTACCCCTCGCTGCAGGAAGGGACATCTCCAGCCAGTTGTGCAATGGCTCTCTGAGAGAGCACAGCTCTCCATGTGACATGGGCCACGTAGTCCCCTAGCACCCCAGGTCTCAGGTTTTTTTGTTTTTTTTTTTTTTTTTTTTGACAGGCAGAGTGGACAGTGAGAGAGAGAGACAGAGAGAAAGGTCTTCCTTTGCCGTTGGTTCACCCTCCAATGGCCACCGCACCGCGCTGATCCGATGGCAGGAGCCAGGAGCCAGGTGCTTTTCCTGGTCTCCCATGGGGTGCAGGGCCCAAGCACCTGGGCCATCCTCCACTGCACTCCCTGGCCACAGCAGAGAGCTGGCCTGGAAGAGGGGCAACCGGGACAGAATCTGGTGCCCCGACCGGGACTAGAACCCGGTGTGCCGGCGCCGCTAGGCGGAGGATTAGCCTAGTGAGCCGCGGCGCCGGCTAGGTCTCAGGTTTTACTTTGCCTCCTGTTCCCAGTCTTCCTTGCAAACAGACAATGGTCAGAAGCAGATAGACTCCACTAGGGTCACACCTGTCCCACACCAGGAAATGGCAGCCAGGTGTGGACACTGAGCCCACCACCCTGGCCCCAGTCCTCCCAAGTGAGGAACTCCAGCCTCCACTTCCCTCTGTGCCTCCTTTTCAGAAAAGAAGCCCAACTCCAAGGCTTTGCTTGTATTCAGCTTCCGGCTAAGCCTTACCTACCACTCTGCTCTCATCGTAGCTCACGGTGTAAGTTCCCAAAGACGCACATGGAAGAGGGACGACTTCATGGGGAAACTCGGAGCCTGGGAGGAGCTGTTCTTTTCCTAGGAAGCTGTGACAACTGTGGCTTCCTGGACTGAAAGCCAGGAAGGGGGTTACCAGTCTTGCAATGTCTCTCCCATTTTCTGCTTTTGCTCCAAAGTCCCTTCTTATCCAGGTGTCAACCTGCCCCTGTGTCCAAAGCAGCCGGGGACACAGAGGCCATGGTTGTTGGTCTCCTCCCACACATCGTGTCCCTGGCATGACTCAAGCATCCTCATCCTGCTCCTACACAGCGGCAGATCCATCCTGCAGGTGCTCCTCCCTCTGCGACTCGGAGTGGCCAGTGCGGGGCCTGCCGCAGGAAAGCCTGTTTATGTTGCCTGAATGAATGACCCCTCCCCACGCCCTCCTGCCAGTCAGGGAGAGCCTCCTCACACCCTCCTCTCCACCTACCTGCACCTGCGCCTCAGACCTCTCTGTCCTCTGTCCTCCCTTCAAATCCTGCCCTGCCAAGCCCCATGTATCAACCAAACCCAGGTCCTGCTCAGGGACCCTAATGCATATTAACTCATCCAGTCCTCAGGTGGCCCATGAAGAATTGAGGCATAAAGCGGTCAAACAACTAATAGGGGGCAGAGCCTGGCTTTGGAGCCCGACTGTCTTTCGGCCCTCCCTCCCCCTTCACCACCCTGCCAAGTGGCCTTTCCCACTCTACCTCCCCAGAACGAGGCCGCTTATTGATAGAAGACTTATGTCCACATCTGAGACGCAGGAAAGCCACAGAGCACAGGTTGGTCGGTGTAGACCACTGTGACGTGCACAGCATTGAGGGTGGGGGGGACGGGGGCTGTAACTGGAGTCTCTGTGGTTGCTTCCCCTCCAAGCCCAGCCCAGGCTTCTGCCCCATTCCGGGGCTCTCTGCACGCCACTGCTCGGGGCAGAGGTGTCTGACAGCCTGCCCCGGCCAGTGGCCTGGGCGAAGGAAGGAGGTGCAGTGGATCCACCCAGGCAGTCCCAGGAGGCGCACCCGCTGCGGCCTGGGGCGGTCGAGACCTCGAGACGCACATCTCGGACGCTTGCTGCTCTCTGGTGGCCGGAGCCAGGAGTCCGGGGACCTGCGGGGTCGTGCCTTCTAAGCTCCGCGTGCCCAAGGGCACCAGCGACCGCCCCGAGAGCCTGGAGAGACGCATGCGGTTGAGGGCGAAGGGGAAGGGGTCCGGCGAGGCGCGGGAGGCAGCGCGAAGGGACTGGAGAGGGGACAGGGCGGGCACCGGCTCCCGCGCCGGGGCGTAGGTGGCTGCCGTGCGGTCGAAGCGCGCGGCCAACGCCGCAGTCCCCGCCGGTCCGCGGAGCGCCCGCTGGCCCGGCGCGCAGAGCCCCTTCTCCCGGGGAGCGTGGCGCCCCCTCCCTCGGCGCCGCCGCCCCCTCTTCCCCGCTCGCGCCGCTGCCCCTCCTCCGGCCCGCCCCCCGCGCCAGTCGCGAGCGCCGCAGTGGCCGCCGCCTGCACCGCCCGGCCCCGGAGCCACCGCTCTGCCCGCTGGCCTGGGCGCGCTCAGAGAGCGGCGCGCGTCGCCGGCCCCGGCTCTTCGGTCCGACTCCTCCGCGGGCCCTGGGGCGCCCCGACCGCCGCCAGCCCCCGGCCGCTGCGCTCTCTCCCGCTACCGCCGCGCTCCGCGTCCCAGAAACTCCGGCAGGACCCCGACGGGACCGGCGCGCCGGCCCGGACCCGCAGCCCCGCGCGGCTATGCCCGGTGCCCCCTTCCCTGCCGGTCGCTCGTCCTGCGCCGCAGCCCGGCCCCCGACGGCCTCGCGTTGAGATGACTTTCCGCGACCTCCTGAGCGTCACTTTCGAGGGACCCCGGCCGGACATCAGCGCCGGGGGCTCGGGCGCGGGCGGCGGCGCCGGCGCGGGCGACACGGCTTCCTCGGAGAGCCCGGCGGTGGGCGGCGTGCCGGGAGCGGCAGGGGGCGGCGGCGGCGGCAGCGTGGTGGGCGCGGGCAGCGGCGAGGACAACCGGAGTTCGGCGGGGGAGCCGGGGGGCGCGGGCGGCGGCGGCGAGGTGAACGGCACGGCGGCCGTCGGGGGCCTGGTAGTGAGCGCGCAGAGCGTAGGTGTGGGGGTCTTCCTGGCAGCCTTCATCCTCACGGCCGTGGCGGGCAACCTGCTTGTCATCCTCTCGGTGGCCTGCAACCGCCACCTACAGACCGTCACCAACTACTTCATCGTGAACCTGGCCGTGGCCGACCTGCTGCTGAGCGCCACGGTGCTGCCCTTCTCGGCCACCATGGAGGTTCTGGGCTTCTGGGCGTTCGGCCGGGCCTTCTGCGACGTGTGGGCCGCCGTGGACGTGCTGTGCTGCACCGCCTCCATCCTCAGCCTCTGCACCATCTCTGTGGACCGGTACGTGGGTGTGCGCCACTCGCTCAAATACCCGGCCATCATGACGGAGCGCAAGGCGGCCGCCATCCTGGCGCTGCTCTGGGCCGTGGCGCTCGTGGTGTCCATGGGGCCGCTGCTGGGCTGGAAGGAGCCGGTGCCCCCGGACGAGCGCTTCTGCGGTATCACCGAGGAGGTGGGCTACGCCGTCTTCTCCTCGCTGTGCTCCTTCTACCTGCCCATGGCGGTCATCGTGGTCATGTACTGCCGCGTGTACGTGGTCGCGCGCAGCACCACGCGCAGCCTGGAGGCGGGCGTCAAGCGCGAGCGCGGCAAGGCCTCCGAGGTGGTGCTGCGCATCCACTGTCGCGGTGCAGCCAGCGGCGCCGACGGGGCGCCCGGGACGCGCGGCGCCAAGGGCCACACGTTCCGCAGCTCGCTCTCCGTGCGCCTGCTCAAGTTCTCCCGCGAGAAGAAGGCGGCCAAGACGCTGGCCATCGTCGTGGGCGTCTTCGTGCTCTGCTGGTTCCCCTTCTTCTTCGTGCTGCCGCTCGGTGAGTGACCCCCTTGCTGGCTCCTTGAGCCAGGGGCTATGCGTGCCCGACACCCGCACCCTGAACGTGGGACGCGGACTCGGCCCCTTCTCTGGGCTGTCACTTGTGGGAGAACCAGAGGCCCTTGGCGCCTGCGTGTTTCCTCTGAGAGGGCCCTAACTTTTGCCGTTCCCTCCTCTTTGCTATCCCAGCCCTGGGCTGGGGTTACCTTCCAGACCCCTCTGAATGTGAGAGGCCACGGACATCTGTGTGTGGTTCAGCCGTGTACCCTACGGCTGCCTGGGGTGGGGGCACAGAGTGGGCGGGAGTCCAAGCTGTCGTTCACTCGGGGGCTGCAAGCGCTGGCCTGTGTGTCCATCCGCAGACACCAGCAGCTCCTGCCTTCTCCCAGCACTTGCCCAGTTCTGAAGCCGAGGCCTCCCCGGAGGGCATCGGGTGAGCAGGCTGGGCTCTCGCTTCCCGCCATCTCGGAGGGGCTGCGGGCAAGGAGCTGCAGGTGGGGAGAGAAGGAGGAAAGGCAAGCCAGCGCATGGGAAGTTGGGGTCATTCCTCGTCCTTTCTCACCGTTGCTCTACCCTTTGGCTCTTCCGGGGACTTTCCTAGTTCTTTCCCAAGCTGCCCGGAAGCCCTGGGAGGGGGCAGCTGTTCTCGACCTTCCTCCCACCCGTTGAGGCCAGGGGCTGGGGGCTGGACCAGCACAGGGCGAAGAAGGGGGACAGAAGTCACCAGGACTCAGTTGGCCCCTGGCTGCAACCTCAGCCAGCCGAAGCCCAGGCTGCCCTGGCCTGCCCCAGACCTGGCTCCCTCCACATGGCATGGCCGAGTGGGGGAACGGCTGCAGCCTTCCTCCTGCTGCCCTGCCCGGCCTCCCGCACAGCAGCCGCAGTGACCCTAATCCATTATAAGTCGGATGCCACTGGCCTGCTAAACCTCCCAGTGCTTTCCCAACAAAATCCAGACTCTATACCGTGACCCCTGAGACAGTGGCTCCCAAGTGTGCTATAGTCCAACCACACAGGGGCCATTATGAATATTTAATTAAGGCTACTTAATTAAATATTCATAATATTGCCCTGCAGGAGTCAGGGCAATCCCAGACTTCTGCCCACCTGCCCCTGCTCACGGCTTCTTCCACCCCCTGTGCCCCTCTCTCCAGGTTCCTGGTCCAGCCTTTGCATGTGCTGTCCTCTCTGTCCTGACTGCTGACCCCTCCCAGCTAGTCCCCCCATCCTTTAGATCTCCCCACAGGTGTCCCCCTTCAGAGACTCCCTCCTGAACCTCTCAGTCTGAGCTGCCCCCCTGGAAGCACTAGATCGTGAGCTGCAACCCCAGCTGTATGTAAGCGGTGCTTAGTTTGGTGTCTGGCTGCCACACTGACCCGGAAGCTCCACGAGAGCACAGCAGTGCCGGCTGTCATCCCAGGTCCCACAGCGCCCAGCACGGTCCCTGTCCTATAAGGAGCTTCCATGAGAACTACAGGCTCCAGCACCAGACAGCCTGGGTTCGATTCCCAGCTCTGCCTCTTCCTAGCTGGGTGACTCCAGGCAAGCCCTTTAACCTTTCTGTGCCTCTGCTTCTCATCTGTGAAACGGGAGTGGTGGTGATGGAAGAGAGCTCACTGGCTTCAGGGCTGGGGTGGGAATGCAGGGAGCTGTGATGTGCGTGTGTAACGGGGGTGCGTGGTGAGTGTCGTGTCAGCTGCTGCTTTGGTAGTAGGTAAGGAACGAATAAATCACCCTGTGAAAATCGCCCAACCAAGGGCTGCAGGGTTGAGGGACAGGCTCCGAACAACCCACGTGGATGACCCTCTTGGAGGAGGGGGCACACAAGCAGACAGGAGAGAGCTGGCTGCCTCCTGGATTGACAGCCACCACCAAGCCCGCTGTGTGTCTGTTCTGGGCGCCCTCATGCTCCCCGCAGCCCTGTGGTGCACCCCGGCCCCCTGGGGGAAAGCTCCCACCTGGGTGTAGAGTGCCTGTCTCTGCACCTCCCTTTTTCTCCCTTTTCTACTTCTAACTTCTTTTTGAATTTTATTTGCAGAATAGTGCACAGATAGGGAGAAAATAAGATAGCAAGCACCCATGTACCTGTACTCACCCACGAATGTTAGCAGTTTGCCGGATTTGCCTCCAATCCCTCTCTGTGTCTCTCTCTTTTCAAAGAAACAAAACACAGCAGCAACTCAGTGCTTCTTCCCCTCCCATCCTGGCTCCCCTGGCTCCCCAGAGGTGAATCCGGCCCTTCCCACTCCCGTGCATGTATTTATACGCTCACCACAAACATCTGTATCCATAACAACACACAACTCTGGCTCACGTCTCTTTGGAATTTATATCAATGGCTCCATGCTGTGCAAATTAGTCTGCCATCGGCCTCTTGCAACCAGCCTCATGTCATTGAGATTTATCGATGCCCGGGCCATTTTAACAGCAGGACATTTGAGAGGATTCCATGGTGCGTGGACCCAGTCTCCTGCGGAGGGGTGGGTTTTTTCCTAAGTTTTCATGGTTGCAGTCCAGACTGCAAAAGGCTACTGTTTTTCTGAGGCCTAGATTCACAAGTCCTTCTCTTCCAGGAAGTCAGCTCTAAGTTTCCATGACCTTCGCCCCTTGCTGGCACACACTGCTCTTTCTCCCTGTAGTAGAGTCCCTGCTACTCTGTTGCCCCTCACATGTTTCATGGTCCCTGTGACTTCTCTGCCTGTGCTGCACTGCCCTACCTACACTCCCAGAGCCCCCTCCCTGGGCCCCCACAAAGGGTCCAGGGACCCTGGAGTCGCTGGGACGGGTGATGATCAGGATGGAGGCCCAGCAGGAAACAGAATGTTCCTGTCTGCTGCAGGGAGCTTTGAGGGGAGCGGGCGAGCAGAGCCTGACACATGGGAGCAGGAACGGCCTGAGGCTGAGCAGGAGGAAGCGGGCACTAGGCCCAGGCAGGGGGAGGTACCTGGGAGGAATGGGGACGTCCTGAACAGCAAAGTAGGGGTCAAGGGGTGAGGCTCCCAAGGGGCGAGCAGTTCTCCGTGTGGAGGTGCTACATCTGTGCTGGAGGGGAGAGCTGGGTAGTGGGACTCAAGGACAGGGTGCCTGCAGGAGCAGGAGGTTCAGCCCCTGGAGAAAAAGGACAAAGAGAGGAGAGGGCCTGGGGCAGAGCACCTGCTTTGAAAGAGCTAGAAAGAGGCAGCGGTCGGGGGGGCGGGGGCAGGAATCAGCCGTTCAGGTGGTACCTCCCTCCTGCCAGTACCTGGTGGCCCCCAGAGGTGTGACCAGCACCAAGGATGGGGGGTGGGATGGAGGAGGAGCAGGGTGGGCATAGGCCTTGGAAATGAAGGCATCCAGTAAGGCCACCAGCCTGGGGGTGTTGAGCTTACCTGGGGTACTGGCACCTCCACATTCACCTCTCCACACACCGACCAAACTGGCTCCACAACAGCTCCAATCATGGCCAAGAGAGCAACTGGGAGGAAGTCCTAAAAGTCCAGGGGTATTGAGGGCCTTAAGAAAGGGCCCCAGTCCCAGAGCAACATTGGCATAGTGGCCAATGTCAAGCCAGGGAGAGAGACAGCACCACCAACAGGTGTCTTGCACCATCGGGGTCTCTGGGGGCCCAGATCACTGGCTGGCAGAGACTGGGACCCAGAAATGCTGGGGAGCCCAAGAGTCACTGCCTGCTTGTCTGCTGTCCCCTTGTCCCCAGGATGAGCCACTGAAGCACGTGTGTTCCCCTGGGGCAGACAAGCATCACTGAGCAGGAGCCTCAGACATGGCGCATCTGACCCTGCGATTTCCGCAGCCAGGGGAGACCCCTTGTCCCAGCAAGAGGGCACCTACCTGCCTGGCATTCCATGCCCCTGCCCAGTGGAGCCCTCTGCTCCCTGGCTCGCCTGGGCCAGGCCTGCCTAGTGCCTGTTGAGCGGCATGATCACTAGCAGCTCTCCCCTTTCAGTCTCCAAGTGCTTCCACTTTGGATGATCGGGTATGTGGGCACCAGCCCCAGGAGCTGCGGGGGAAGGGCTCTTGGCAGCCCTGCACATGACAGCCGTGCACACCCAGGCCGCACCCCAGCAAGCTGATGCAGGGCTGTGTGCCAGGGAAAATCACAGGAGATTGCCGATCATCCCTCCCTGCAGGCTGCGTTTAGTTCCGTGTCCAGAGGCACCCACACCTGCAGAGTGTGATTGGCAGCCGGGGACAGGTAGAGCCTACTGCCTATGGCTTCCCTGGATGACCTGAGACTTGGGGCATGCCCAGAGCTGCAGGCCTGGGACGAGGGGGCCAGCTGGAAAGGTGCCTGAGTACAGCCACTGTGCCGGGGACACTTGCTGCCAGAGTCCCCTGAACCCAGATATCTGGGCCAGGAATGCAGAGCGCCTCTCCCAAAGGGGGGAGGGGAAGAGGGAGAAGGGCAGGAAAACCCTGTCCCAGGCAAGCACCTGTGTGCACAAGCACTTCCTTCTTCCAGTGCGTCCAGAGACCCGGCTCTCCTCCGTATCTTCTTAGCAGCGCTTGGCTTTAGGCTGCCTGGCAAGTGGCCCCAGCCATGCCCAGAGGTAGACCTCCCTCTCTCTGTCTCTGTCTGTCTGTCTGTCTGTCTCTCTCTCTCTCTCTCTCTCTCTCTCTCACACACACACACACACACACACACACAGGACGGTCCACCTCTCCATCATTCTTGGCACCGCAGACCACAAGGCTTGTGCTTCTGCTATCTCTTCTCAAGGTGTGGGAGCTTCCCAGTGACTCAGAAGCCCCAGGACAGGCTAGCCGATGTCCCGGACCCCTCCCCCTAATCTGTGAGCTGCACAAGGCCCCTCTCGCACACCATCAGCCTCTTCTGCATCATGCGACCTGCCTGCCGGGCCTCGCTGCCCACCCTGGACTGAGTTCCATGTCCCACATGCACCTCCACCACTCCCTGTACACTTCTGTCACCGTGCACTGTAACTGGGGACATTCAGGCACGCAGTAGGAGGTGGGACGGCCAGGGGAACTGTGTGTGTA